AGAGGATTAGAGCTGCAGTGATGTGCGACCACCCATGAACAATGATACAGAGAAGAAGAATTTTCTATCTTTTTTTTTTTAATTTATTTAATTTGATTTAATTTTAAAAGAAGAAACAGTATTGTGGGAAATTAGTGAGAGGGGTAAGTGTTTTTATTAGTGAAAAGGTAAAAGGGAAGAAGTCAAAAACGAACCTTGCCTTATCCTTGGCTTTGGCGGCTGCAAAGGGTAATGGGTTCGGACATTGACTTCACATGCCAAAAATGTTTTAAGTAATAATAAAAACTAGCAGCCTTTGAGTCGTTGCACTTAAAGTTTATTTTTGTCCTTTTTTTTTCGTTGGGATTTTGGCATGTATGATATGGGTGCTCAAAAAATCGGTTTGATATGAAAAAATGGATCAACCCAATCCAACGCATATAATTTAGGTTTGGTTTTATACTCTTTTGGGTTGGATTGGGTTGGGTTCAAATAATTAGAAATTTTATGAATCGATTCACCTAAAATATGTTTTGGTTGTATCGAACCAACTCGAAGTTGTTATTAATTATAAAACTATTTCTTTCACTCATCATAAAAATTATTTTAGTTTGTTTCATTCAATAACTTTTTATGGAGGATTTATTCCACGACTTATAAAAACAAAAATTTAAAGTTTTATAATGTTATTTTTTCCATATAAATACAATTGACTTACGAATTTTTATGCAAGATTAGACCATATATAAAAAAAATATATTTAAAATATTATTATTATTATTATTATTATTTTGTTATACAATCTATGAATAAATTATTTTATGGTTGGATTTATTATTTAACAAAGGTTGTTTGGGTTGATTTTTGGGTTGAGGTATTTTTAGACCCAAATGCAACCTAATCCATGAACACCTCTTATATATTGAGATCCACAAAAGTATAGAAAGTTTAGTTTAAAAATGTGTCAAAAATTAAGTGGATAATGCGAAAATGGTTATTCAGCTCAAAAGTCCAATATAAAATCATATTTTATATTTGTCATATTCTTCAAACTAAATTAGTTGATTAATCAATTTTATTCTTTTAGTTAAGTGGTTTTAGGCTTTTAGGTTGATAGTATGAGCTAATAAATGAAGAATAAGTGTTGTTTATAGATTTGATACTTACCATCACGAATGGAAAATACTTAAAAAAAACTCACAAGGACGGGCTCTTTCACGGCATAATAATTATGCTTTTATTTTCTATTCTTCAAATTCTCTTTCTATCTTGACATAGTATACGTACAAGTTCTCTCTATCAACGATAAACGGCTTCGTCCGCTATGATGCTTTCCACTATTGATCAATTTTATTTTTTGAGAAAAGTGTTTTTGAAAGAAAGTAAGAAGTTACCAACATGCAATACATCTAATCCATATCTAGAAGACTCCATTTTCCTCCTCATAAAACCTCTTTAATCTCTTCATCAACTCTATTTAATCTCTATAAACCAAAAAACTTAATTAAGTGCCCTAAAAATGCCCAATGTGTCATTTGGTTATTAGGCAAATAGACTTAGTTTTAGTACTTAAAAAAGATAAAAAATAGAATTAAGTGTAATTAATTAGTTAGGTTGTTCGGCAGGGTAGAGTTAATTGGTAAATAAGATAGTTTTATAAAAATAAGCAAGTGATGTAATTATTCATTATCTGAATTAATGATCATAGAATCATTTTCTCTATTTCTCTAGCTACTTATTTGTGGAAATAAAATTTTGGTGTTTTTTTCTTTGCAAAAATTAATAACAATAATAAATTTTTTTCCTTAATGATGAATATTGTAGCCATCATCCAACGAAAAGATTGATTTTGCAGTTTGTTGTGTCTTCACTATTTAGTAGTTGGAATTAATTTGGTAGGGCCCGTAGGGAATAAAAGATGTAATAGGTTTCTTTTTTCATTAGACTTGTAGGAAGCCATACAAAAAATAATAATAATAAATAATGATAATGATAATGATAAAATTAAAACATTTTCCACTTATATAGGTGATTATAACATAGCTAGCATAAAAAAGGACACCCTTTAATAGGCCGAATAAAATCATTTCAAAATATTTATTGTATTTTTTTTTTAAACACTATTTATTGTACTTAGTATCCATTGAACAGTACTGGTAATATTGTTAAAAAAAAAGAAAAAGAATAGTACTGGTAATAATAAAATAAAATCATTCCATTACACAAGGACATATTTTCTTCTTAAATTAATGTATTAAAATTTTTATATATGGTTAAAAGATAAAAGATAAGTCTGAATAATAAATTTAGTTGATAAACTTTAAGCTTATGTCTATTTAATCTTTTAATTTTGGAAAATTTCAATGACATTCTTCAACTTTTTATTTTAATTCTAATAAACTTCTACTAATAATGTCATTACTTAAATTTTAATGTGACACAAACTAACGAGGAGGTGGAGATGTCTAAATCAGGAGTAGAGTCTCCTCTCTGTGGTGCAGTAGCCCCTCGATCCCTTATTTTATATAATTTTTAATTTAAATTTTGCAAAGTCTAATCAAACTTTTTAAAATCTTTTTATGTATATAATTTTTAATTTTATAAAAAAGAATACTTTTTATTTAAAGTAAATAATAGAGACTTCTAAGGATAGTATGTCATATTAAAAAAACATTTAAATCTATCTCTACAAAATGTGTAAGTGTGAAAAATAATTAACTTTTTAAGTTTTCGTACTCTTTTTTCTTTAACTCATCAAAAAAATTTACATGATACTTTTATTAAAAAAAACTTGTTACTGCCCACAAGCTTTTTAGAGTGGTGTAGAATAGATTCTCAGTTTAAAAAATGTTTAATAGATCTTCGTACTTTCGATTTTAAATCTATTCGATGTTCGTATTTTCAATTTGTTTTTAATATATCATTAAGCCATTAGACTATATTTGTTTTTAAGGTCAAGAATCAAATAAAAGTAAAATTAAAAGTTTAGATACCTATTTGAAAATATTTTCTAAAGTATGCGAGAAACAAATTTAAAAATTAAAAGGAAAACTATGGGAAAACTTTACTAGTGGTGTCATTTTCCATTCATATGACTCTTTTCTCCGATCATGCAAAATACTTCCGAGTTCTTATCCACATTTTTCACATCCTTAAATTCTTATAAGCCAAAGCCAGCTAATCAACATTTTCTACCCTCCCTTTTCAATCCAAAATATTATCTCTCAATCTATATAAATTTATCTCTCACTCGATCCCTTCATACTTTCCCTACTTGTCTCTCTCTCTTTCTAAATACTATCTTTCCGTATTTACAAATAAAAAAATTAAAATAAATGATAATTTGAGTAAAAAAATTTGGATGGATGAAATAAAGAAAGAGAGGGTGAATGAGAAAGAAAATAATGAAAGGATTAAGAGAGAGATAAATGAAGTTTTTTAGAGAAAAAAAATTATTTGAGAAAAGTGGAATCCGTAAAGGTGGATAAAAAATATTTGAAAATATAATAAGAAAAAGAGGAAGAGAAATTAAGAGTGGTAACATGGAAAGAGAGAATTGGTGGAATTTTAGGAGATTTGAAGAGAGAATTAACGAGAGAAATAGTGGACGAAATTTGAGGAAATTGAAAGAGGGAGTTGAATGACAAAATTAACATCAAAATAATAAGAAAAATGATTAAAATTAAAAGGCGAAAATAGAGAGAAATTTATAGATAAAAGACGAAATAAAATACTTTATTAAAGCTAAGATATTAAATAGTGTTCAAAACAAAGTAGGAAAGCTCTTGATATGAAAAAAATGAAAAGGATTGAAAAGGGAGCGTAGAAAAGGTTGATTAGTTGGCTTTGGCTTATAAGAATTTAAGGACGTGAAAAATGTGGATAAGAACTCGTAAATATTTTGCATGATCCGAGAAAAGAGTCATATGAATGGAAAATGACACCACTAGTAAAGTTTTTCCATAGTTTTTCTTCTAATTTTTAAATTTGTTTCTCACATACTTTAGAAAATATTTTCAAATAGGTATCTAAACTTTTAATTTTACTTTTATTTGATTCTTGACCTTAAAAACAAATATAGTCTAATGGCTTAATGATATATTAAAAACAAATTGAAAATACGAACATCGAAAGTACAAAAATTGAGAGAGAGATTTGTATTTGAGTAATAAAATGATAAATTTCACTTACTCACATGTTCTTCTAAGTGCAATGGTTCTCCTTCGATTCCATAATTTTTTAAAAATTAAATGGTCAATTAAACTAGTTTATAACAAATGATTTGTGACATATAGTAGTTTGGTTTGGTATACATTTTCAATCAAAAGGTTGTGAGTTCGATCACTTACCTCCACATGTTGTATAAAAAAAAGTTGACGTAAAAAACTAAATTATACAAAATTATCCTAAACTTTGATTACAATTTTACATTGATCTTTTAATTTTCATCCATTAATTTTAATGAAAGTTTCTAAATGAGGATTTTAATGAAGGAAAATTATTTTTTTAAAAAAAAATTCTATGTTTGGGATGAATTTGAGAAAAAATTGATTTTAAAAACAGAATATATAATCAAGATATATTTATCTAAAAGTTGATTTAGAGTAAATTCATTAAAAAAATTACATTTTCTTTATACAACATGTGGAGATTGAGAGAATTCAAATTTATTATCTCTTGAGACGGGTGTTAATCACTGCCAGACTAAATTCTTGTTGGCATCAAAACTTCTAAAAAAATGTAATAAACTTATAAGTTTATAATGATTAGAACTACTTTTAATATAGTGTAATTAAATAAATTATTAAAATTTAATAAAACAGACAAATAAATAAATTACTAAAAGCTATTTTAAAAAGTAAAAGTAAAAACTTAGTATTTGAAACTAACTCATCCTAAGAATTTACTCTAAAAAAAAAGGACAACTCGTCCTAAGAATAAAATTAAAAAATAAAAATAAAATGTATTAAAAACGTTTTGTGTAGTTGACCTAAAAAAATGACCGTTCCTTTGACGGATGTTGAACTAAGACGCGTCCCGTTGGGTTGACTCGACCGTTTCTCCATGATTTCAGAATTCGTCGGTGCGCAAGTCATTTTTTCCGTTCCTAGAAACACGTGTTTTTAATGTGGATATAATATGGCTCTCCCAATCGAATTGATTTCAAACTCTGCCTATTATCCATTTATCCGTATATTTTAATTGCTTCGGATATTAATTTTTATCTAGACGTCCTGAGTTCAAAATCTCCAATCTCATATATTAGTTTTAAAAATAAAATTCTGATATTAGGGCTTCAACTTCTTCTTCGTCCATTACCTTCTTATACGTTAGTATGAAGAATAACGAGGTAGCTCTTCTTCTTGCAAAAGTGACTTTTAGGTCTGATTTTTAATAGTTGTGGCTGTGATAGTTTTTCCCTTGACTTGTTCGAGTCGTGGAAGCTGAAAGAGATCCTAGTTTAGTCTTTATGGTTTCTTCGTTATTTTAATTAATGAAGTATTTTATCAAAAATATCTACTTTTTTAATTAGAAGAAGCATTATTATAAACAAAAAAAAAGTAAAGTTATAAAATAATTAATATAAAAGTTATGAGCATAATGAGATAGATTAGGTTGTAGGAGAGGAATGAGATTAGTTTGAGCTGAGTCCTGTCATTTCATTCAGTTTCTGTAATTTAGTTTGAGATAGTACCGAAATGGTGGCATTAGCGAAAGTCACCGAATGAAGTAAAAAGAAGAAGAAGAGAGTAGAATATGTAAACCCATAGTCTAATCATCAAAATAATAAATATTAATTTAATTTGTCATCAACGAGCCTAATAAGCAATTGTCTTGTCATTTTTTCCTCAATTAGTAACTAATATGATCAACCACTTAAAATTATTTTCCAAACTTCAACCATTAAAAAAATTACTTTTGAAATTAGATAATCAAATAAACACTAAAGATAAAAAAATGTATTTTTTCCTTCTAAATAATTAATTTTAAAAATATTTTATATATTTATTAATAATTTAATAGAGAATATTAATATATATATTTACACATACATACACATATATTAGTTACTTTTACAAATCAAGGGATCAGAAAGAATTGGGGGCATGAATGTATTTTCCAATATAGCGATATTGGAAAATACTGTTTAATACTTTTTCTTTTCCTACTTTTTCTATTCTATTTTTATGTCACCTTCGCCTTTCTACTCTATGAACTGGCCATGGTCACGCATCGTGTGACGTGTAATTTAAATTTTCACGTTTTAAATCCTACGCTTTTTCCTATGCTAGATTTTAAATGTTATATTTAATGTATTTTAGTTCGACAAAGGCAAGTGGAGATATCTCAGGCCTTCGATCTACTAATATATATCTTATCTATTTAACTATATTTTTTAATGTCAACTTGAACATAATTTAAATAATAAAGATACCAATTTCCAACGAAAAAGTCTGGAGTAATTTGAATTTTCACTCCACATATAAAAAAATATAATAATAATAATAATAAATAAATAGTTATATTTGAATACTGTATATGGTATTAAGAATTCTTTTCATTTTTCTAATTCTTAAAGTTTACTTCTATTTGAACCGACCAGTTGAACTAACGAATCCATGAATTTCATTGAAAGAATAAAAACATTTTTCATACCCATCTTACAATTATGGGAGTGGTGGCCCACCAAATGAATTCTTCTTTTAAATGGAATTTCATTTTTATTTGATGATTCATTAATCTCTAAATTTAAAAAGAAAATCATATATTTTCTACTCTTATAACATCACTAACTAAATTGATGACGAGACAGATAACAGATCATGCTATAGATATTTTAGAATCTTTTAAAATTGATGAAACAAACAGAAAAAAAATATATATATATCAAAGTAGTTGAGAAAATTACTAAATTATCTATTAATCTCTAAAATTCTAAATTATGATTTTATGTCATTTCAATCACGATTAGCACCATTATTAATGATGTGGCGCATATTTGTATGGGACATACATGTTAACTTTTTTTTTTCTTTTTTTACCACTGATCACAAAAATAAGCAAAATGAAATAAGTTTTAATTAAAAAAGAAGGCGTATTATCAAAAAGCTATAGGCTCAGAGATAAGTGATGTGAGGTGGTGGAGGGTTCGTGGACGGTCCTTTTCATTTGGCAATGCAAATGGGACCAACACGCTAAGTTCCATTATTCGTCACTCAAATGCGCCCAATTTTATATGGCCCTTTTCAAAGGGTGGGTCTTACTTATCCTACGTCATATTTCACCCTTTTTTTTTTCAAATTTAGGAATCTAGATTTCCATAATTTTCTCAATTAATGTCATTTTATTACATTTATTTTTATATTTTAAAATGTATTTTTTAAAATCTAAAGTTTAGAGTTAGGACTTTGGATTTCATTTATTTATTAAAAGGAGAAGTGGTTTCTAATGGGTTTATGATTTAGGTTCTAGGGTTTTATTTATTTATAAAAGGAATAAATTATGTGTAGTTGGTTTATAATTTAGGAGGTAAGTTCTTATTTATTTATTAAAAAGAGAAATTGTATAGTGAGTCTATGGTTTAGCATTTAAAATTTAGGGTTTTATTTATTTATTAAAAATATATGAATATGGATAATTTGATCTATAATCTCTATTTTGAAAAATTTGTAAATTATTAAGATAGGAAAATATTTGGCTACCTAATATTTGGCTACCAAACTAAACCTTACTTTCACCATTATTGGAAAATCAAAAACATATTATTTTTTAAAACAAAATCGCATGTGAGGATAAGATTAGATATCATAGGTAAAGAGCAAATATTTTCATTATTATATTTTGGACTTCTCTTTTCTTTTCTTTTTTTTCTCTCTTCTTTTCCTACTTGCTTTAAACATGCCATAAATACACAGTTTAATTTGGAGTCTGCAGTTTCCTCTATTATATATACTCCCCTGCTTTCCCATCATTTGTCATATAATTCAAATTCCTCTTTTTCCATTTCTATACACACACACACACACAAAATGGCATGCAACATCAGCAACGTGGTGAAGAGTCCTGCAGCTGCGGCCATAGCCAGATCGCACATAAAGCTTGGGACAGCAACTGGGTCTGCCTCTCTAAGGACAAAGAAGAAAACCATGTCGGTGGTAAAGATGCAGCGTGTAACTAATGATCAGAATAAGACCATCAAACCGGTTAATGGAGGAAAATTTGGGAAATTCGGTGGCAAGTTTGTGCCTGAATCTCTCATCACTTGCTTGGGAAAGCTGGAAGCTGAGTTCAACCTGGTTTTAGATGACCCTCATTTCCAGGTTCCTAAATTCAAAATTGTTTACAGTATCACTTAAACTAATTTTACTTTCTCTAATAATAGTACCAGGCCCAATAACTGAAAATCATCGTAGATGAGTAAGAAACAATAATGAGAGGTTCAAACATTAGACGTCTCACCTCAACCTATTGGATATCTAACCGCTAATATTTGTGTTGTGCAGGAGGAGCTAGAGGTGGCGCTGCGGGATTACGTGGGGCGAGAGACGCCGCTGTATTACGCGGAGAGGCTGACAGAGCACTACAGAAACGAGGAGGGAGAGGGCCCAGAAATATACATAAAGAGAGAAGATCTGAACCACTGCGGCGCGCACAAGATGAACAACGCCATTACGCAGGTCATGATTGCGAAGCGCATGGGCAGGAACAGCGTGGTGGCCGCCACTGGTGCAGGCCAGCACGGCGTCGCCACTGCAGCTGCCTGCGCCAAACACGGCTTACACTGCACCATCTTCATGGGCTCCAAAGATATTGATAAGCAGCCCTCAAACGTCCTCTTAATCAATCTGCTCGGCGC